GGCAGAATTTGAACTATAACAGATTTTTATTTTATAGCTTATGACCTCTAAATTAGAAAATGGAGTTTGCGTATCACAGCTTATTTGAATATAGATTAGATTGTTTTCCCTGACATATGATTGATCAGTAATGTGTGATTTTTTTTTTCCTTTCTTTTTCCCAACTTAGTTTTATTGCTTCTGTTACTCTTAGGTAAATTACAGTTTCATCCATTAGAAGAACTGAATTAGTTCTGAAATAATTTCAGACACACAATATAAAGGCAATAAGTAATATTACAGACCTGACTTAAAAACAAGAGTATTCCAGTGAGCTGAAAATCTTGCTGCATCTGCTGGGAGCTGAGTTAGTGCTGGGCTCTGCTTTATTCATATAATTTCAATTAAACTGCGAATCACATTTATAATGTTTATGTTTGGGGTTTTGCATATTCTTTTGTAGAAATGCATGTCTTATAAAATCACTTTTGCCAAAGAAGGAGATTCTGATGCAGTGATGGATGGAAGAGAAGTGGCCAACCTTCCTACCTTCCTACCTGGAGTAAAATTATCCTGTGGTGGTGATTAACCTGAGTGACTATTCAAGTGAATACTAGGAGTAAGAGGTTTTGCCCACATTTTGATAATACCTATTGTTTTCCATAATGAATGCAGGATTGGGACCGGTTCATAAATGCAGTCTGTTTCTCCAGTAGTAATCCTTTGCCTGTGCATTCACAGTCACTATCAGAAATAATCTGGATGCAGTTTGTCCAGTTGGCCTCATCTCATTACCAATCATAAAGCTATGAGTTCTCTACTTACCTCAGTTGCTAGAACTCTTATGCTGAATACTGGTTTAATATACAGTTAAATTGTATTATTTACAGATTATTAGGTATACATGTTAGAGTGGAAAGGCTTATACACATTCTCTCCTGGTCTAGCATGCTATTTTGGTTGCAAATGTGTATGCCTCATTACCTCTACTCATTTGCTTCTGATTTTTCTGTATGCTGATATAACATGTAAAGCCCGTTGATAAGTAACTCCCACAGAGTGTATGGTGGGTGGCCAATTAGCCAGCCAGGGCATGCATTCATATCTGGTGAACATATGCTTAATTTCATAACTGTCTGCCAGGATTTCTGGGTTGCAGTCACAGCAAAGGAAGAGAGAGTACAAAAAGATTTAGACAAGTGCTCTCCTGCCTGAATCAGGTCAGTGCGATACTTTCCCTTTATTCTCCACCGAGGTGGGAGATGGCTGACCCCAGTTAGTCTGGCTCAAACAGTGCGTTAGCACCGTGCCCACACTGCTCTCTCTGAAAGTCTGCTGAGCTTTGTTAGCTTTTCCTGGCTCCATCAGGTTGTTCAGTAGTGGTAGTGAAGCTCTCACTACCATCAGGTGGTTAGCTGAGTTTTCTGGCTTGTCAGGTCTCCTTTCTGCAGACGGCCACTGCCCAGCAAGACTTTGCATTTCTGTGTGTTGCAATGTGAAGGACCTGCTAATTCATGAGAAAATAATGGCAGCTTGTGGCTGCTAAAATAAACAAGCACATATGGTCAGCCCATACAGAGACTTAGTAAAGCAAGGATTACCTATGCTGTTTTTAAGTGACTGCAGAATATTTTATGGAAAATGCAAATGTATGAATTCCGCTGTTTCACTGGTTACCAAATGTGTTATATTCTTAACCTTGCTGAAATGACAAGAAATGGTAGTGATGAAGTTACCCTTATTATCTTTCCTCATGACTTCTGATAAACTTTAGTAGCTAAAAAGCATAAACCATTGTTTAAGCAGAATTTGCTGTGTAAAGTGCAGAAAAACACAGATATTTTCCACAAGGATCATCTTACTGTTTAAACTGGCCATTCCCAGACCAGAGTCCTTCACAGTGCAGTTCAGTGCTCCAGAGAGAGGCAGAGGCAGATTATGCACATGAAAAGCACATGATGTTTGTGTGTGTTCCTTTTTTCCAGGTGCTAAATTGCATTTAAAAAAAAACCCTAAAAATACACTTAGGATGTTAATTTCAGGAGCATTGGAGCCAGTGGAAGTAGGTAAAGGCCTAAGCAGGATGTGCCAGAAAAGCCCTACCTAGATGTATCTCTTCTGCTGTTCCAGTAATTTGGTCACCAGTAGGGTGGATAGAGGACTCTATTTATAAAAGGGAAAAGTTTGATCTAAAAACAATACAGCTATTACAATGTAGTCCATGCTGAAAAAAATTCAGAGCCACTCTCCTGGAAGAATGATAGATAAAGTCAGTTTGCAATGGGAGAACTGAGCTTTTCCTGCTTTGTTAAGGAAACACAGTAAGTGACTAAATGAAGGTCTTCACTTAGTTTCTTTTAAGTTGCATATGCATCACTTGAACAACGTCTCCCATCTTCAGGCTGACACTTGCATTTTCTACAGAATGAACATCATCACCACTTCAGATTTTAATGTGTTGGAGCAGGGGGAGGTAAGAAAGATCTGAGTTGCTGTGTGTAAAGTGAAAAAATTTATGAACTGAATATGACAGTTGTGTCTTTTTAGGCTCTGAAGAGTTAGGAAGTGGAAGCTATGGGCATCAGTATATCACAGACACAGTGACTGGTGATGATGATGGATTTGATATTGATGACTCAGACTACGACATTTACACAGAAGAGGTAAATTTCAAAATTTCACTTTGACTTTTCTGTTTTCTTTATAGTCTTAATATTTTAAAGTGTCTGGTCTTGTCAGAAAGTTTAATATCTGATATTGTATGCTCAGATATAATAATGTGGTTGTTTCTTTTTCTTCAGTGAGGATGAATTTGTTACCTCAGATCTGTATCTTGGAAGGTATTTGTTTCATTTCCATGTAGCATTTTAGGTTTTACTGAATTTATGTTTCTTTATTTCCTTTCATCTCAGACCACTTCCTACTATCAAAGGAGGCAACAGAAAATTTCTGGTCGAAACTAAGGTCAGGCCAGGGTCTAGTCCCAGGCTCCTATCACAGGTCCTTACAACCACTTCTGAACCCACTACTTCCACTCCCACCACCACACGGCCTTCAGCCACAGCAAGGGCGACTACAGCTAGGGCAACAAGGAGGGGCGGCACATCTTCTGCAACGCACTTTTTTGATCTCTCCTGCAATGAGACCATCGTCAACGACTATGACCAGGGTGGCTCACGCTGCCACTGCAACTTGGGAAAAGGAGGAGAGACATGCGCGGAAGGTAGGTTTCCACATGCCCACAAGTCTGTGGGACTGCACTTCCTCAATGACCCTAGACAAGGCATCCCTCCGGCATCAGCAGGCTGAATGTCTGTGGCCTCTGCGCAGTGACAGCTGCCTTGGGGAGCACCAGTCTGCTGCAGGCCAGCTGGGGGCTGGTTGCTGCTCTGCTGCTGGCTTCTGTTAGCCTGGGGCAAGGAGTAGCTTTGTGGTAAACCAACTGTCCTGGTTTCAGCTGGGATGGTGTTGATTTTTCTTCCTAGTAGCTGGTATAGTGCTGTGTTTTGGATTTAGGATGAGAATAATGTTGATAACACACTGATGTTTTAGTTGTTGCTAAGTAGTGCTTACACTAGTCAAGGACTTTTCAGCTTCCCATGCTCTGCCAGGTGCACAAGAAGCTGGGAGGGGACACAGCCAGGACAGCTGACCCAAACTGGCCAAAGGGCTATTCCATACCATATAACATCATGCTCAGTATATAAACTGGGGAGAGTTGGCCGGGGGGCAGCAATCGCTGCTCGGGGACGTGCTGGGCGGGTGGTGAGCCAATTGTATAGTGTATCACTTGCTTTGTATATGATTATTTTATTATTATATTATTATTATTATTATTACTATTACTACTATTCTATTTCATTTTACTTCAATTATTAAACTGTTCTTATCTTAACCCATGAGTTTTCAGACTTTCACCCTTCCAATTCTCTCCCCCACCCCACTGGGGGGGAGTGAGTGAGCGGCTGGGTGGGTCATAGTTGCTGGCTGGGGG